GGTAACACAATTAACTCAATACCGTATCACACTGTGAGAGTGAGACATTGGAAAAATTACGCCGGGCAATCCAAAACAAGCGGCTTGGAATGTTGTCCAGTGGGGTCATTTTACTGCACGACAATGCCCGTCCACATGTGGCTAATCGAATGCAATAACTAATCGAATCATTTTGCTGGGAACAACTTGATCACCCTCCATTTAGGCCGGATCTAGCGCCCACTGACTACCACCTTTTCCTTTATTTAAAGCAACATCTTGGTGGTCAGCGCCTAGACAATGATGATGAGGTCAAAATGGCAGCGACACAGTGGTTATCCAGTCAGGCAGCAGAATTCATTGGGAAAAGAATGCAAAAGCTCGTGGAAAGATATGATAAATGCTTTAATAATGATGAAAACTATGTCAAAAAGTAGATTAAGATACTGGCTTTCAAATAACAATATAATTATTACAGTAAGTATACTGTTTATTTTTTTGTTTTTTAAACGGTAAGCCTACTTACTTAAAAAACATGCCTCGTTTTTCTACTCTAAAAAAGTTTTAATAAATAACAAAGTAGGAAGATAAATCAAAACGTAATATTAGCTTCATTTCAAAATGAAGTCAAACCATACGGTTATTAAAAAAGAATGGTGCAAAACTAAACGGTTGGTACATCTGGGTCCGTCTTTTCAAACAGCTGATTGTTACAACAATGGAAAGGACATGTGGATAAGTTTGTTTGAACAAGGTTATGCTATATAAGTTAGTTAGTAAGTTAGTTGCTATATAAGTTGAGTACCATGAAGCCTGTCAACAAATGGCAACTACAAAACAAGAAAAAACATTTTGTGTTTTATAAATTGCTCAAATTAATACTATTGTTAGTGTTCAAGTAGAACTTTCGAACCAAATTTAGAAAGGAGGATCCTCATCAGAACAGCATAGCTTGTTTGGTGAGGCAATTCGAGACAACTGGATGTTTAAGTGTGCCAGGAAGAGTTTGTTCTGTCCTCAGAATCGACCAGACGCTGTGGAGAGAATCAAAGCCAAGTTTGAGCAGAGACCAAAAACCTCAATTGTCAAAGCTGGTAGGGAACTGGTTTCACACACCCCAGTCCATGGTATGGTGTTTTACGCTAGAGTTTGAGACAAAAACCGTAAAAACTGTAGTTAACACGCATTGATACTTACTCGCAAGCCAAAACGCACAGATTTTTGCTATGAACTGATTGAGGAGAGACTTTATTAAGTAATGGATGGGGCTAAATTTCATCTCAGTGACTAAGTGAATCACCATAATGTAAGAACAGAATATGGGGGTTAGAAAATCCAAGAGAGTTTATTGAGTACTAGAGAGATTCGGCTAAGCTGAATGTTCTTTGTGCAGTTAGGAACCGTAAAGAATATAGATCTTTCATTTCCATTGACCTGAAACTGGAATCGTTTACTTATTTACCTTAACAGAATGGCTCATTCCTTGGCAAGTAGAAGATGTTCCAGGCGTAGTTTTCTGGCTAGATGGTGATCCTCCACATTTCAAGTCTGAAGTTTGTGAGTTTTTCAATGATATGTTACCGGATGTTCGTTTAGATGCTGTGGAAATGAAGACAGTCCTTTGATAAGCTGGCCGCCAACACCTGACTTAACGCGATGTTATTTTTTGTACTACCCTCCTATGCCCAAAACCCTGCAATAATTTACATTGAAAATAAGAAACCGTGTTAGGCCATAACCCAGGAAATACTACAGAATGTCTGGGCTAAGTTGGGATTTCGCCTGGATATTTGCTGAGTTTCTAATGAAGCCCACATAGATGCCTATTGAAATGCCTATAAATTAGTTTTATAAATGTAAATAAAAACTTGTTAATTGAAGAAAGAGGTTTATTCATATTTCATGATTCTGCAACTCAGAATATGCAAATAAAATATTGAAATGAAATATTGAAAATGTCTGCCTTTAAACTTATTTACTTTAGCACCATTCTTATTTCAAATAACCCTGTATAATAATAAAATATTTTGGAACAAATATTTATCAAAACTTTGGTTAATACATATCTGAAGAAAGAAATTTCTGTTCCTTATAGGTGCTTGAACATTTAAATTTATATCACAAAGAAATTCTAGCAATAAAGAAGCATTTTCCTTCTTTGAAAAATTAGTGAGTAACTTTGTATGTTAGGGGAGTGTTGTGCATGCTGTTGTGTTTATCTATTGGCAAACCCTGTAAGTCAGGGAAGTCCAAGGGCCAATTTCTTTGAAAAAGACTTGACAGCAACTCCACCCACCCCTCCATGTAAGCCCAAGTACCATCTTAAAAAATTCAATGTGAGCCAATGATTATAAAATTCTACAATAAATCTTAAAATGTACCTAAATAAACTTACCTCATACTTTTGCTTTTACTAAATATTATACCATCCGGTTAGTTTTGTTCAAGGATTTTTAAGCTCTACGCCAGAATTTTGAATTGTAGAATAAGGAGGATAGCTGCCATCATACTTATTTTACATTTTCTATCCGTTAAAGCCCCTGTCACACGGAGCTGGTTTTCTAGCCGCTAGTAACTAGCAGCTAGAACCAGCGGAAAACCAGCATCGTGTGACTGACTCTCCAGCCGCCAGGCCCGCTTTTATAAACGGGCAGACTGGGCATATGCCCAGGGGCGCCGGTGGTTTGGGGGCACCCAGCGGGCGCCTGCCAGGTGCCCTCAACACCGCCCGCCAGCACTAGGAAAAAAGGGGGGGCGCTGCTCTTGGGTTTGCCCAGGGCTCCAATGACCCTTAACGCGGCCCTGCCAGCCGCTAGTAACACTCGCATGAGCTGGTATCTCCAGCCGCTGGAGGTTTTAAACGGTTTAATATTACAAGCGCTTGAAGAGTCACTTGCAGGTCATGTGACCACCCAGCTGTAGTCTCTAGCATCATTCCAGCTCTGTCTGACAGTATCGTGCTAGTTGTCGCAATAAGAAAAATGAATTTAAATTAATTAAACACATTTAAACTAATCAAGAATAAATTTAAACTTTCATGTTTAGAAATTGTTCATACATTGCCGTAATTTTCTCGTTGTTACGATTGCTACATCTCACATATGTTAATTAAATGAATGTGTTCTTGAAAGATAAAGTCCTTTTGTTATACGCCTACCACAACTTATTCGATTTTAATTAGTTAATTTAAATGCCCGTAGTAGATACAAAATAATAGTGTTTATATATTAAAAGTATATTTTTCCTTGCACTTTTTCATTTTATGATAGCTGATCATAGACAAAACATCAATTCTAATAGCAACAGAAGACATTATTTTTGTCAACTACACAGTCAGTTCCAATTACATCACCAAATATGTAAGTTGTAGCGCTAGTTCTCCAGCTTCGTCTGACAGGACTTCTAGCGCGCTGGAGAACTAGCAACTAAAGCTGCTGGATCTCGCAGCGAGAACCAGCTGCTGGAACCAGCTCCGTGTGACAGGGGCTTAAGTATCAATCACCTAGGTGTGGTGTGACAGTTAACACAATTTTTTTTTAATATGATAAGGGAATATAAACATAGTTATCTGTTAACATGTCCATTAACTGAAACCAATCAATAGCCTAAGCTTATTGAGTAAACGTTTTGAATTAATAATTACAACTTACGTCAATCAATCCAGTATATTTATGGAGGACGCACGTTTCGACCTTTAGGTCATCTTCTGCTCCGCTGTTGCACTAGGTTATTCCATAGTTATAGTTGTATTGTTGGTGTAGCAACCGTGTCAAATAATTTATATTGAGAAGGGACAGGTTAAATATGTTACCCAGCACCAAGAGGATCAGAGATACGAGACATTTATAGGTAAATGACCAAACATCTTGGGACTGTCCAGAAACTAGTTTGACTATTACTTCACTTCACCGAGTTGATAGTTAATCCTGTAAGGAGGCAATCAAGCAGTTCTTGCCACTTGAAGACAGCTCATCCTAGCAATCAACTGTATCAGCAACTCCACAATTGGCTCTTCAAACTTAATCAACCAAGAGAGTCAGCAATTACATTACACTCAATTACATTAAGTATTATACGGGTTGTATGTTTAATAATGTTTTAGTTAAGTTAGATTCGTAAATACTTTTCACTGTTTCAGTAGTGTGGTACCTGTACAACCTTTTTACTACTTATAAGATTTATTTTTTAGTATCTGACACATTAATATTTTAATGAAAAAACTGTATTACTGGTGATAGTGGTTGGTATGTGCCAATCTACCGTTTTGCACTTATGCCAAGAGGTTAAAAGAATTCCATTACTAACTAATCATAGTGCATATAATTTGACAACAACTATCATTACCAAAATTGAATATTATTTAAGATATACTAAACCCTTTGGATGAAAGGAAATCACTCGTCCAACTTTCAACTATTTGTAGGCTACATGTAATTAGTCCTTTTAACTCAATTTTTAACGTTATCGTAAAAACAAGTACCTACATTTCTTTATAAAGTGTTTGGCCTAACAAGCAAAAAAAGAAATCAAATTTTAAAAACATTGTTTGGTGCCGTATCAAAGATTTTTGAGAAAAAAACACTTCTTATTAACAAATACACCATCTTCAAAACAACAATCTCCTTGTCAAATTACCAGTTTAGTGAAACTGATGGTGCACTTGTTTATTTTGCATTTCTAAAAAAAATGTGATATGCAAATAAATGACTAATGCCTCATAACATCTTTTACTTTTTGTCTTCCTCCAAGTATAACTTCTTTACTCTTTTAAGGTTAAAAATGAAATATGATAATATGATAAAAAAATATACCTTATGCACAAAAAACTGAGTGTACAGTGTAGTTACATCTATAAAAAGTAGTTACATCTTCAGCCAGAACTCTGAGTCCATCCCTAATACTATAAAATACAATGTAAAATAAGACAAGTTAGTATTTTTTCTATTAGACAAAAACAGGTAGGGCCTACTGTATTAATTAAAAATTTAGGCCTAACCTTTTGGGAAAAAAACTAGCCAAAATAATACAAATTAAAATTTATTAAAAAATATATATACCACATTATATACAATGATTCTGCTATTTTATTGACATTATATTTATTTACATTTCAAATATAAAAATACAATATATTACAAAATAAATACACTCTATGTCATGGGCCCTATATACAGAATAAAAACTGAAACTTTAAAAGTTTACAGGCAAAAATTGTTTCTCAGGATGGACAAATAAAAATGTCATATCCTTTAAATGGCATTAAAATGGTAATTTACAATTACGCTTTTTGTGAATAGTTTGAATGATTTTTTTAAGAATTAACTAACTAACATACAACTAACTATAAAGTTTATGTTGAATCTGTATTTTTTTCCTGAATCATATAGGCTACTCACTGACGAAGCCTTAGAAACATTTGTTTCTATATGCTGAGTATAGGCTAAGTTGATAATATTCTGCTTTTTCTTTAAAACAAGGCAGGCCTATACAAAAAATGATAGAACAAAATGTATTAACCTATCTCTTTCTTTAGCAATTGAAACAAATATTTTGTTGCTGTTTTGAAACTATATAAACAATTTAAAATTTCAACAAATAAATCTTCAATAACATTATTTTTTTGGATTAATAAACATTCCTAAATTGTGTTATTAACTGAAAAAAGCTTATTGTTATAAAACTATTGCAACTTCAATCATAAGGTTCCTCGGATGAAATATTATTTAGTTCAACAGTTCAAAATGTGAGTCATCATTATAAAGTATTCATACAATAATAAACTGCTTTTAAATTATCTCCACCAACAAAATAGATAAGTTAAAAGTTCAACATACCAGTATGTTGATACACCAGTAACTTCTGACAATAAACAAATTATAACATTTAGATGGCACTTTACATACAGTATAGCTCTTAAATATAAAACCTTTGTGCATTTATAACTGCCTTAAAGTAGTTCTATTGTGATTAAAGCTAGGAAATAAATAATTCAGCACTTGGTAGGTTAGAGCACCTACTCTCGGGTAACTATGGGGAATAACAGGATGTCTGAATAGACAACCTGGATTAAGTACATGGTACTTAGATCTGAAGGCAAGTATGGGTCTCACTCTTACTTATCATACACTCCACCTTAGACATGTTTAAAAATAGTGTTAAAATGAATAAATCTTCAACCACAAAATATTTGTTAATACTAACTGATCAATTATCTGACAAAATAAAGTTGCTATGAATAAGCTGCATTGTACAATTCTCATAGGTACAGTTTTCTATTAGATGAAATTACCAAAATATAGATGTGAATATCTTTAAATTTCAGTAGGGACTATTAAAAAGCGTACCGTACACTAAATTATAAAGCTATTTTTAAATTGGAATGTTACAATTTTATTTTTTATGACAATAAAAATATTAATTTATGTTTAAGTTGTATAAACAAGTTGACACCATAAGGATGATCAATAAACCCTCAATACTACTTACTTTAATTTGTACAACCTGAAGAGTTATTAAAAAAATAATAAATTACTAATAGGCTAGCTATTCAAAGTTATATTAATATGAATAAATATAATTTTAATTAAAATTGCACTTAAAAATAATATGACCTACATCGAATGAATCTCAACCCGAGGCTATGATGCAGAGCTTCCTTCGTACAAGTTTTCACACTTCTCGAGTAGCCTCAATACAGGGTTGATATTGTAGGGAAACAAATCCTTAGACACAAGTCTGTCTATTGCGAGTCGTAGGCGAATGATGACACTCATTGTATCGTCCAAGTCCTGGGCACACACTGTCACAAACTCAGTCCAATTACGACGGATGTATTTCAACAGGCGAAGCAAATAGAGTAGAAAACAGGTCTCATTGCTGACAAGAAGATCCAGCAAAACATCGGGATCATGTGAAACCGTCTGTAGGAATTGAACAAATGTTGAAATTGGATTCAAAATTCTTCTCAGATCAGGCAGTGTTGTTTCTCTGTAACACAATCCTACAGTGACGTCCAAGCAGCACACCATAGCTTCGATGAGAGCGTCGTCTTGATCAGTAAATAGCTGAACAACCCACTGAGCAACGGGAGTCTCAGGATGGTAAGGGAGTAGAGCCTTCACACACAGATCCAGCTGTCTCAGCACTTCCCTTATACTTCTTTCAATAACGGCCATGTCAGCGTCTGCATCCTCCGTCTCCGATCCCAGAGAGCTGTCGCTAGAAGAATCTGATCTTGTTTCCTTTACTGTCACAGCTACTGCTTTTAAAACCAGAAGAGTAGCTTTTTGAAGAAGTGGCCTATCACCATCTCCAGCTCCTCCGACAAAGCCCCCTCCTCCTCCCCGGTAGGGTAAGGAGTCCAGTAACCGCCAGTCCTTGACACTTCGCACGATGAGATGAGCTAAAGCACACGGCTCATCATCCAAGATATCCTGCAGAGCGAGAGTGCTGCCGTAGCATAACACCTCGTTGAACAGTCCCAACAAATGTTTCCAGATTACAGGAGGTACTCCCGAATTCAAAAGAGCGACAAAACTGTCGACGTGGTCATAAAATGGCTTGGTGTCTACTACTGATAAGTTCGCCTTCACTGAAATTATCATCTCCCATAAATCCAGGAAGGTGACTATCGTCGACTCGTAGGAGGGTGAGTACGATGAAATAAGAGCGTCAAACCTGTTTATGATTGTCGGCCATTTAGACTCGAGAGCTTTAATGCACAGGCATTTGATCTGACTGCTGTCGTGACTTTCTGGATCATTGACACTCAAAGCGTGACAGGAAGCTATGTGATCATCTTCTCCTCTCTGCTCCAATGGATGTTCATCACAATCCTTCCATTCTATGACCCGTTTGAATACTTCCAAAGAAAAAGATACTTTTTGAGGGTTTGAAATAGAGAGGGCGTTATCTGTCAGTCTATCCAACCATCTAGGGTCTACATGAGCTCTGGAGACCAGAAAGAACGATGAAAGTGCCCTCCCAGCCGAAAAACAAACAAATCTATCAGGGTGATCAGCTAATTCTATCAAATGATCCACGAGCCCATATTCATTTCTAACAAGAGCATCACAAACATCCCCGATCCTAGAACACAACAGACCTTTTGCATTCTGTTTAATAGCCACTTCACAAAGCAATTGGACACAACTGACAAATTGCAAAGTTCTGTTTCTGTTCCACTCTGCAACAACAGTGTGCCTGAAACCTTGAATGTCTTCTTCTGTAACAACCTTCATACCCTGAAATGGTTTGCGCAAGCAACTTTCTGACATAGAACAGAGGCACTGATTTAACAAATTTCTTTGAAGTTGTTCCAAATCTTCATTACAACTTTCATTTCGGCTGTCTTCCCTCAGTTTTTGCTTCTTTTTCACTGGTTCACCCATGCCTGGTACCGACAGCGGTACAGTGTTTCCTTTCTTAAGTACCATGAACTCTGATTTATAGAACTTGTTCACTATTAAGTGTCATTCCTGAGAATAGGACATAGTGCAAAGGTTTCCAAACTTAGTCTTGAAGCCACCAATAGAGTGGTCATCATAAATCGTGATCAGCAAGATCCAATCTTCACATCACAACAAGTCCCTGAAACAAAAGAAAAAATATTTATTACTAACTTCACAAAAAAAAAATAAAATAGCCTATTAAAAATAATGTTTCAAAATAACAGAACAAGCTTTCAAGTTTCACATAGTAGACGGGTTCACTTGCTCCTCCCTCCTGTACATACATACATTTCACATACATATGAGGCAGATTTTTAAAGTAAGTACCGTTTTTAAATTTCTCCGTTCCAGCGCTGCGATTGTTATTTTCGACGTTTGCACTGCGTACGTGCATCTATCGGTAAGCCCTAGCCGGAAATTCGAGAACAATCAGCCGTGTTTACATCCGATTTTGAGCATTCAAAATGGTGCCGCCAATTGAGACTGCCGCCGACTGTGAAGTGTGCGCTGAAATTAGATTTTTAATTGCACAGGTGTGAAGCCATTTAAAATCATCCACAGATTAGTGAAATGTATGACGAGAACATTATGAGTGACGGAATGGTATGCAAGGGCTAAGGGCATTTAAATACGGCCCATTAACGTTCATGATTAGTAACGCACTGGGCGGCGTCATTCTGCCCCCGTACCCAACTATCCCTACCTACTTCAGAAACCCCACACCAAACTGTCACTTTGTCACTATAAAGAGGCTGTTGGTGTAGGTCTCTTGGGTTAGTGTTGGCCCAGTAATGGAAATTTTCAATTTTACTTGTTGACTTAGCCGTTAATGTGAAAGTGAGCCTCGTCAGACCTCATGACAATCACGTTTTTATCTTCCAATAACTCCAACATACGTTGTCTAAACTGAAGCCTTTGAAGATAGTCTTGGGTGAATTGGTATGGTGATGGGAGAATCTTCTGGACCACCATGATTTTAGGGGTAGGATTTCAGTTCTTTGTTAAGAATCCTTTGAAGGCCTCGATGTGACATTCCAAGAGCTTGAACACGACTTAACGTTGATTGACGTGGTCTCGTAATGACATCGCGTCTGCCAGTCTGCAACTGAAACTCCCCCCCCCCCCCCCCACAGGACGAAGCCCGCAGAACACCTGGCTCGGACCCCTCCAGATGTACAGTCCACTTCCAAACCACCCGATCCATCTGCGCCACCTTCCCTGACCGAGCTATATTTTTCCATCATAGGCCTACACCTTTACTGCGGTAAAGTACATCTTTTTATATAGGCCTACCTACTAATATAAAATACCCCGGTTGCAGCAAACTTACAGACTAAGCAAATTTCAATTTAACTGATTGGATTTTTACTAAAATAGCCATAAACAAGTCACATTTATTTCCCATTTCAAACACATTATATTCAACTAGTACCTAGTTAGGTTTGCTACTACAGGGAAAGGGGAGAAGTGATTTTGCTCAAATAGGCCTACAATATTTGAACCGTACAACAAAATAATACAATAAGTAATACAATAGGATGAAATAACACGACTAGTTCAATTCATTTTCATTCAGTGTGTCCGCATACAATAATTTAGTTCTCCAGCATTGGATTACACAAAAAGTGGATAACAGTTCATCTATATAAGCGAAGATTCAGAGACAATTCTTTTAGCTGAACCGGACACATCGACGTGGCTGTCAGTTTTAACTTAGGCCTACAAACCTGCCTACTTTCCTGCGACAAACCTGGATGGAGTCGACACGAAACAAAGTTAATTGAAAAAATGAAACAACCCCCTTAGTGAATTTGAGACTGTGAATGAGCAAACAGAAATTATGGACAAAGCATCAGTACAATCAGACAAAAGGGAGGAGTTTTGAAACTCAGTGGTTATTAAATTATGTCATAAACGTTGAGTAAAACAACATAGAAAACAGCAGCTCTACAACAGTCAGTTTTGCTATCATCAATTATCAAATTCTAGTTTAACTTCCAATAATAAACCTCCCAACATTCTTAGGAAAGTAAGAAGATTGGATGACTTTCTTTGATGATTTACAGCTGAAATATAGACAACTATAAATTAAATCAAACAATAGCCAGCCAAGTTACGAAATGAAATGAAATGAAATGAAATGAAATATTACTTTATTATCACAAAACATTTCACAGATCCAGCGTTAGCTGGTGAAACAGGTGATATTGTCAGAGATCTTAAACACTAAGTTACATAACAAAACTAAAATCCACATAGCTTAAACTAAAATATATTTACTTATCATTTAAATAATCAGAAATATTATAATAATTTTTCTGTAAAAGGTATCGTTTGAACTCATTTTTAAATTTTGAAATACTGTTAATTTCTTTAAAATTAGTGGGTAGACTGTTGTAAAGCCTTAATCCCATATAATAAGGAGATCTTTCATATAAACAAAGGCGATGTCTTGGATATTGAAAATTTTTTGAGCGTGTATGATATGGATGACTGATTTGTTTATCATTGTACATTTGATAATTAATTTTAAAATTCACCATCATTTTAAATATATAAAGTGAAGGCAAAGTTAATATCTCATATTTAGCAAATAAAGCTCTGCATGAGGTTCTTTTAGGCATAAATGATAAAATCCTTATAAATTTCTTCTGAATTTTGAAAACTGCTTTAGAATAAGAAGTTGCTCCCCATAATTCAATCCCGTATTGCAAGACAGAAAAGAACATTGCATAGTACACTGTGAGTTTAGTTTTTAAATCTATTACATTTCTCAAAACATACATTTGAAAGCAAGCCGTATTTAATTTACCAACTACCATTTTTATGTGTGTTTTCCATGTTAAATTCTTATCGATATCTAAACCCAAAAATTTTGCATTTTCAGTAAAGGATATAATATTATTATCATAAGATAATTCAACAGTGGAGTTTTGCCTATTCTGAATTGTTTGAAATAACATCACCTGTGTTTTAGAATTATTAAGTTTTAGCCCGTTGGCTGTAAACCAATTAGATAAATTAAGAATAGAAAGACTGATTTCTTGTTTAAGATTTTGCAAATTATTTGATTTAACTATTGCTGTAGTGTCATCAGCATATAAGATAAGGTTAGACGATACATTTCGAGGTAAGTCATTAATAAATATTAAAAATAGCAAGGGGCCTAGTATTGACCCTTGCGGAACCCCACATTTAGTGTTAAGCCACTGTGAAATACATTTTTTACCATTTTTTACGATTATTGTTCTTTGATGTCTGTTAGTCAAATATGAATGCATCCAAGACAGAGCCATATCAGAAAATTCATAATATTTAAGTTTACTCATTAATATATTGTAATTTACACAATCAAATGCCTTGGATAGATCACAGAACACCGCAGCTGTGCTCTGAGACCCATCCAAGCCATCAGAAACCTGATTTATGAAGTCTGAGACAGCAGATATAGTGTTTTTCCCAGATCTAAAACCATATTGTTTATTGGTAAATAAATCATTATTTTCGAAATATGAATAGATTTGGTTGTAAGCAATTTTTTCAAAGATTTTAGACAAAGATGGGAGTATTGAAATAGGACGATAGTTATCAGGGTCCATTACTGAGCCTTTTTTGAAAAGTGGTTTCAGCTCAGCATTTTTTAATTGATAGGGAAAAATTCCTTCATCAAAACATTGATTGATTACTAGACACAGAGGCTCTGCAATATGGTTTATGACATTTTTAATTAATTCAATAGGAATTTCATCCCATCCAGAAGATTTTTTATTTTTTAAATTTCTAACGGTTTTTTTAATTTCTAAAATCGATACATGTCTAAACTGAAATTTCATTCTTATATTATTAGGCCTACTAGTATTATTAATCAAATTAGTTGCAGTGTGTAAGCAAGGCATACAATTTATATTTTTGTAAATGTTACAAAATTTATCATTGAGAAAATTTACCACATTTTGTCCATCTTTTAATTGCTTGTCTCCGACACACAAATCAGGGAAATCCAAATGATTGGAATTCAGGACTCCAAGTTCAGACTTCACAACATTCCACACCGCTTTGCTCTTATTATCTGAAGATGATATAACTTTACAATTAAACATTTTCCTAGCCTTATCGCAAACAGCTTTAAATATTTTTCTATAGTTTTTGTAATATTTTTTAAAATTAACATCTTGAACCGTTTTGGCAATAGTGCTTAGCTCTCTTTTTCTCTGACTTGATATTTTAATACCTTTAGTCACCCAGCTTTTCCTATATTTATTTTTGGGTGGTTTGTTAGTGTAAAATTTAAGAGGGAAACATTTATCAAAATTTACTAACAACTGATTGAAAAAATGGTTAAAATTAGTTTGAGCATCTTGTTGAGGCAATGCATTCCAATTAACTCCTGATATGTGTTGATAAAAAAGCGCTTTATTTTGTTTTGAAAATAATCTTTTTTTGTACTGTATTTTTTTGCAAAGTGCAGTATTTCTTGAAATTTCAATAAAAAGTGCCCTGTGATCCGAAACACCTAGTTCAAGGTTCATTTTAGATCTTATATTCTGGTTAAAAACAAAGTTGTCATTAGTTAAAATATTGTCAATGCATGAGCTTGTATTTACAGTTATTCTAGTTGGAGAACGAAAATTAATTGTAAAACCGTACATGCTGATTAAATTTAAAAACCTAGTTTTATGGCTGGGTGAGCTGCAGGTTTCTAAAATATCTATATTAAAATCTCCTGCTATACAAATCTGATAAGTTTTTACATATTTTTGTAGCTTAGAAAGTAACAATTCTAATTTATCTATAAATATTATAAAATTATTCTCATATGGAGTTCTATAAATTGAAACAATAATAACATTCAAAATAGGTATTTCAATACTACAAACTTCAAAAATACTTTCTTCATTGTATATATATAAATCTGTCATTTCTTTAAAAACATAATCAATTTTCAAAAGTATGCATGAACCTCCCCTTGCAATTGAGCTTCTACAATAATAAGCTGCTAATTTATATTTGTTTAGACTTGATAACAAATTTATTTGATTATCCTGTAAACAATGCTCATTCAAACACACTACATCAACATTTGAATCATCCAAAAATAAGTGTATATCATGCAGTTTTTTCACCAGACCACCCTGAATA